CTTCTCAGGAAGTAGTTGTAATTTCTATACCACATCCCTGCAAATAATATTTTCCTGACTGCCACTATCAATAATTAAATCAAATAATTTACCTTGTACAGTGCATCTAGTGCGAAACAGTCGGTGTCGTTGAGTGGTATCTTTGCTTCTTTGGGACAACATCAATTTCCTCACAACACATGTGTATTCTTCATGCTCATAGGGACCTTCTTCGTCCTCTCCATCAGGTGCACAATATACTTCATCATCAACATCTTTTTCATCCTCCCTCTCTATCATGTTAACTGCCTTCCTTTTGGGACAGTCACTAGACCTATGCCCAACTTCATTGCACTTGAAGCACTTAAAAGGAGCAGGTTTTGCATAGGGATTATTGGGTTTAGGAGGGTTGGAAGGGTTACCTCGAGTGTTTCCTCCTGTGGCGGCCTTACTGGCGTTAGCTGTATTCAGCAGGTGGGAGGGTTGTACTCTCGGGGCTGGTTTGCTCTTGTCAACTGCTGCCAGTCTGTTGTCGCTCCCACTGTACCGTTGATAGTTTTCACCTCGGGTCCTCTCTTGGAATATTAACTCAACTTTCAAAGCTAAGTTCCTTGCTTCCTACACATTGAGAACCATCTGGACGCCAATCTATCTCTGATAGCCAGTCTCAAACTGCTCAGATAACGGGCGGCCTGCTGGTGATCACTTTCAGATAGCTGATTCTGTTCAGTCAATCTCAGGAATTCAGATGTGTATTCATTTACGCTTCTTGTACCCTGTGCACACCGTTGATATGATTCAAACATATATTGCTCATAATCAAGGGGTAAAAATCTACCTCTTATTAGCTGTTTCATGCGCCTCCATGTTCGAACTGGACCTCTTCCTTTTCTGATCCGGGTCTCCCTCATTCGTTCCCACCAGACAGATGCTCTTCCCTTCAGTTGAAAAGCTACTAATTTCACCATTCTTTCTTTCGGGATCTCCATGTACTCGAAGAAACGGTCGACCTCTGTGATCCAATCTAGAAGGCCCTCTATATCCAGATCCCCACTAAAAGTAGGAATGTCTACCTTGAGTTTAAACTCATCAGTATTCCGACAGGGATTAAAGTTGCCGGGATTGCACCAATTCCTACCATTTCTGCCGTCGCTGGGAATAACTAGGGCAACGCCGGGTTCTAACTCGTCGTCACTATCATCATCAAGAACAGGATGCCGGAGTACAGGATTGACGAGGGGTCTACCGTGGTCGTCTCCATCGATTGGGTACGGGTTCTCCCGGTTCCTTGGAACATCCTCCCGCAACAAAGTCCGCAGTTGTCCAGCGATCTTTGCCAACTACTGCTCAATGATACGCGTGGTTGTGTGCTGCTCTTTGATTGCTCTCCAAACAACTTGTAACCCCTGATCTCCGTCACGGGGTGGGTTGCGACTGCTACCATCTTGGTTGGTCATCTGACTGGGCGAACTCCTGCTCTGATACCACCTGACGCAGCGTGGAAGCAACAAACCGGGCTGACTACGCAAGCACCGGACGAACACAAGGCTTCGTTCGTGAAGCCTGTTGTAGCTAGGCGTATGCCTTGGAAGAGAGAGAAGAGTTGGTGAAAATTCTTGTGTGTCTATTGAGCTTAGAAACTGAATTATTTATAATACATGTTGATAGTCTTGTAGAATAATTAGGAAAATAGAACAACTAAAACAACTAGGACTTGGACTTGACATCCACCGTCCGATAGCCACTATCATCCAATGCAGGTTGGATACGTGATCTTATCTGCCATTATCCGCTGCATGCATCTCTAGACGTCCTTATCCGATGCATGTTCCTCCCTAGCCGTCGCCAGCTGGTTCGGCTGGTTCGGTGGGTCGTGAGCTGGCCCTTCATCAGTACTGAACCTTTAGGTTATATTTGGTTTAAAGGAAAAGGTAAGGAATTCCCTGTCTTTCCCTTCCTTTCCCTACTTTTTCCTTTGAACCAAACGTAGCCTTGATGAATGGATTTCAACCTCAGGAAGAATGATGTCCTGTTACCTTGAAACTGCACGCTCTCGTACTCGTGGAATGGTCATTGGGCGGAGTATCATGACTATCATGATTCATGGAGGAAAGCCATATATATATGTAGCAAAGCAGGTTTTGATTAAACGACACTTACTTGCATCTCTTCAAAGAAGCAAATAGAGCTGCTGACTGGTTTGCTATTTTAGATCATAATATAAATGATAGAAATAATGTTTGGCCAGATTGGCAATTTAATTATATTTGTATGTGTGATTTTGAGAGCGTATCTCCTGTTTTGTGTAGTTCACTTTTCATTCATCAAATCAAGGCTCAGTTTGGAAAGAGTTCAAATATAAATATGTTTAGTGCAAATATAAGGTTTAGAAATAGAAATATAGGCCATATACAAGATTTGCATTGAATATATTTGTATTTTCACTCTTCGAGACCAAAGGAAAAACTCAGATATTGAGAATTAGACTTGTTCTTGGACCGGTGGACTGGGTTTTAGGCTTGGTCCATGAATATTTTACACTGTTTTGGGATCGGGCTATGAACATACGCTTTAATTTTGCAGCAAATAGACACAAGAGCTGAGCTCACATCCTGTGAACCCTTTCTGTATCAGATCAATAGCAAACCGCCGCATCAACCTGTCCTTCGCATTTCAAAATTTAAGTGGTGGTGTGACAGATTGTTATTGGCCAGATAGAGAAAATATTCTATACTGTGGATACAGAGGATGCGATATCACAGGAACTAGCAGTCTGAAGATTGGAGGTGCTTAGTCACAGCAAACAACCTTCTCAGACAGAAACCTTCCTAAGACTTGTCAGCTGCTAAATCTCAGGAGAGCCTGCGCCAGAATAGAGTTTTGAGGTCCCCCTCGGAAGGTAATTGGCTGGAACTAGAAAGGCCCCATTTGGTTTGTAGGAATAAGGGTTTGGAATCGGAATGAGAATGGATTATTTCAATTCTAACTGTTTGGTTAGGTGAAACCGGAATTTCATTTTCATTCTTGTTGGAATGGCATTCCTCTATTTGAGGGAATGGCCATTCCCTACCCCTCCCTTGGGAATGAAATTTTATTGCTACTGAATTCAATTTTCATTTCCATTCCTGTCTGAACCAAATAGATATATGGGAATAAACCATTCTGATTCTCATTTCAATTCTGACTGCAAATCAAATGGACCCAAAATTTAATATAAGAAAAAGTATCAATAAAACAAATCCAAACAAGTAAAATGAATACATATTTATGCTAACCGTGTCTTCCTCTTTAACAATAGAAAACCGGGTTAGCTCAACCCAAGTCCAACCCTAAGAATTGGGCCTAAGGATTGAGTTTAAACCTGAAGGAGGTCAATGTCCAAATATCCAACTTAAGCTCAGCCTGCAGTAAAATTTGATACACTTAGGTTGGGCTCAGGTTGATACAATCAGCCCATACTAAAATTTGATATAATATATATTAAAAAAACATACATATATATGCATGGATGCATGAAATAAGTGTATCTACATTTATATAATTGGACTGAATTTGGGCCCATTCGAACTAGCTAAGGGCCATCTCTGCGTGCACAGAGACTGTTGCCGATGTGTGGTGTGGATGATTAGTATGGCACATAAAGTGGAGAAAAAAACAATTTGTATTCCGAATTATCAATGGAAAATTGCTGGTCAGCCCATGGGACAAAATAATCGGTTGGCACATGTAGAAGAGTTGGTCTCTGAAACATGGGTCACTGTGAATCCCTTCTACACGTACTATAATGTTTGCTTTGCATTTTTCCACACACAACTATGTTATGTGTAAGGTCCATAAAGTGTGCGGAATTCAGGGCAAGAGATTTAAGATATCCTTTTATAAAGTTACCCAACACTCTAAACAGGCAAATCCTTGCTACAGTCCTTGTTTGATAGAACAGAATTGAGTCGAATCATTGATCATAGCTCTAATAAGTCATCAAGGGGAATCTTCATGGAACTCAACAGTAATGTAATGTGAAGGGCAGCTCGTCCAGCAGTGAACCTATGTTCTCTGATAGTTCTGGCTAATAATATGGCGATGATAATGCCAATCTAATTACCTCATTCATGGAAATCAACAGTTGTATAATGTGAAGGGCATCTCGTCCAGTAGTGGACCTCTCTTCTCCGATAGCTCCGGCTAACATGGTGATGACAAGCCTATAGAGCTGTGAAGGCCAACCTAAAGCCAATCTTTCCACCATGCATAGGCTCATCTCATCGAAAAGCACACTGTTTCGTGGTTTGATAAGTCACTTCCCCTCTGCAATTGCCATGCCCATTACCGGCCCACTCTATAGCTTAGCGGCAGTACGGGCCATACCACACTACCTTCCCCACTTCTACAATGTTGTTTCTTTGCTAGGGAAGATGGCTATTTACCATTAATTGTTTGTAGCCTTCCACAATGTTATTGGCATTACATGCATGGCATACCATTACGTATTCAAAGGCCTAGAGAAAATCTTTAACAATGGTTATTGGTTACTTTAATTTTTCTAAATGTTTTAATCCATCATCATATTTAGTTTATATATGATACAACATACATTAAAATTTAAAAATATGCACAATTATTTGATACCTTTACTTTAATACATCGATCTCAATGATTTTTGTTCTACCGATATAATTATATAAACACCAAATTAATTGCCATGTACGGGGCTTCTAAGTGTTGTTTAATTAATTCTACCGAAAAAAGTGTTGTTTAATTAATGGGAAAATCTATGATATGGAAAAGGTTTTTGTTTTACCCTTTAAAAATTTAAAAATTAAGATGGGGATTAATTAATTTCAGCGAAAATTTTCAAACATGGATTAGATGCCCCTAAAAAGTTTCTTTCCTGTTATAAGATGGATTGATTTGGACATATCCCATAAAAACTGCGTCCACTTTTGTCATTTCAAACAAGATAGTCACTTAAATAACCCTAATTCCTCTCTCTCTCTCCAAGCGTTTTGTTTATTATACCGATGTTTGAGAAAAGTCATCTTCTCTGGTCTTGTCATCTTGCAGAAAGGGAGGGGGCAACAGGCAAGAGAGAGACCGAGAGAGGGACTGAGGGAGTGAGCTCGATCTTCATAATCCGTAGTCAGGTCCTTGAGTCTTGAGTCTCTTGACTCGAGCTTGAGCAGCCTTGACGTGGTTAGGGTTTTAAAAAAAGGACGGAAAAGAAAAACACAAAAAGAAATTCTACGCTACTCCTAGTCGACTAAACGAAAACCCACCCCTCTTTAAATGAGGCCAACCCCTCCATTCCTGTTGCTTCCTTCCTTGGTAACAGTAACCAGTAGTTGCAGTTGCAGGCGCCGTTTCCCTTTTTACACTCCTCTTCTCCTTTTCTCCTTTCCTCTTTTGTTTCTCCCTGCAGGAAACCTCTGATGCTGAGTTTGTCATTATCTTTATAAACAGTGATCATTCCACCACCTCTTTTTTTCGTAGAAGCAGAGTAGAAAAGAAAAGAATGGTAGTTTTCGCTTGCTTTCATGTTTGTAGTTTCATTTTGAAACTTGTATGTGGATTTTTCATGGTATTAATTGAATTTTATTGTTATATTTCAGGTGGGTATTTCTTGTCTTCCTCATTGGCTTCAGGCCCTTCTCGGGGAGAAGTTCTTTAATCAGTGTTTGATTCATGAGTCTGCGAGGAAAAACGAGAAGAACATATTTTGCTTGGATTGTTGCACTAGTATTTGTCCACACTGCTTATCTCCTCATCGTTCTCATCGGCTCTTACAGGTTTGCACAAACTCAGTCTCATACACAACCCCACAACCCAATTCATCGATTCGAAAATCCCATCTCTTTCGCTTCTCTAATCTTCCCGTTCGTTTACTTTTTTTTTTTTTTTCTCATTACATAATTACATTAATTCCAGATAAGAAGATACGTCTATCATGACGTTATACGGCTGGATGACATTGAAAAATTAATCGATTGCGCCTTTGTTCAAGTAAGTACAAAATATAAAAATTATATTTTGCCTTAAATTTAAATAAAATTTTCCCTTGTCTTGTGCTTTTTAATTCTGGGTGCACCTTATCTTTTACAGTCTTACACGACCAACAGTGCAAAGGTGGTATTTTTAAACCAGAGGCCACAGTCTCGACCTTTTAGAGGCTCCGGTAGCATATGCAGCACCTGCGACAGGAGCCTTCAAGACCCATATCTCTTCTGTTCTCTCTCCTGCAAGGTTGTGCCCACAACCAGAATTGAGCTCCATAATTTACCTCTTCGTTTTTTAAATGTTTTTCTGTATGCCAACTTATCGTTTTCTACTGTCTACAGGTTCATCATCTGGCCAGGAACGAAGGTGGATTATCGAAATACCTTTACGAGTGTGAATACCTTCCATTACCAGAAGGAGGAAAAGGAGAGAACTTTTGCGAAGTACTGGACGAAGGGCAAATGACGCCCGACTCGGTCCTCGAACCGCCGGGTTTGTTGCGCACCTCGTCCGGGTCGAGCGCAAGTGGTGGCGGCGTGGGTTGCAGGAACCTTGCCTGCACTGCTACCACGGATTTTGTGAAGAAGAAACGCAGCGGCGTTTCAGTTTCACGGGCAACTTATCGGCCGACATGCTCACGCGCGTCGGAAATCTCCATGAGTAACAGGCGAAAGAGTATGCCACACCGCTCTCCACTTTATTAATTGTGTACAAGACGAGCTACGATGAAGTAATTAAGAAAAGGTATGGAGGTGTGGGGGGACATATATGGTATTTCCATATTTCTGGTTGTTTGAATGGTCTCTCTGGGATGGCAAAATGCAACTTCCCCAATTTTGTAGAGGAATCACTGGTCTTTTTTCCTCAGCTCCATATTCTAATTTATATTTCCATCTCTCTCTCTCAAATCTATCTTTCCTCCTTTTTATCTTCCTTTATTTTTTTCCTGTTAAATTTGAAGCTACAACTAGAAGGAGATTTGCAGTTGAACGAAGATAGATTTGAGAGAAACGGAGATTTGTTAAATCCAGATGTTTGAATTTTGATTTCATTTGCACTTTGTTTTAGGGTTGGAAATTGAAATTAGGGTGGGAGGGAAAGATAAATATCGTCCGTGGAGAGCTGTCTATACACTACATATTCTATAGCTGGGGGTCTGGGGCCCTAAAAGGAAGGAAAGAAAAAGAAGATATGTAATGTTGGGTTTGGAGGGATGGGAGTAATTTATTTATTTATTGGTAAACGGAGATGGGAGATGGGAGATGGGAGATGGGAGGGAGCTCAGGATGTGTCCGGAGTTTCTGGGATAGTTGGGACCCAAAAATCTATATATAAGCAGTGAGGTGAATGACGCCACCACGGTCAGCTTCCCAAAGAATTACTCCGGTGTTTGTAAACCCAAACACTTCTCTTTCCCCTTTCTCTTCCTCTTTGTACCCTTTATTTTTCGTCTTCTTCCCTTCTTCCCTTCCCAAGAATTGAATAATAGTGGAAAAAACCAATTAAACATTTACTTAGGTACTATCTATTATTTTATAATTTGTTTTTTGGGGTAAATGCTAATTTAATTCTTTAGGTTCTCCGATGTTTCTGTTTTTTTTTTTTTCTCCTTTTGGGCAAAGTGCATATATTTGGGAAGGGAAACTTTTGGTCGTAGTTATTTAATCTCGAGCTGCAAGCCTGCAAGCACTTTCCCTATAAAACCACTAAATTATGAACACTATGCCCCCCAAAGTTGACTGATTTTATATGTCAATTAAAATCTCCATAAAATGCCTTGAATGCTCTAACTACTCAAATCAGCAGCTGTACAATGCGCTGGGAAAACAATCAGATGATCTGATCTGATGAGTTAGGAATTAGGATGATTAAGAATTATCTCATGTCATTTGTCTCATGGTGTAAATGATGAATGGTTTACAGTTTCATGTGAGTGAAACCGAATCATTCATTTTATAGTGAAGACTAGCAGTAAATAGAGATAATTGGGAATGAGTTGGGTTTTGTGATTGGGGTTTTATGATTTTGTATGTAAACAAGCTTATAACGGATCCGAATTGGAGTGTAGAGTCTGGGGGGAGGCAGAGAGAGTTGAGGTTGGGTGTTGAGGGAGCATTGAAGGAACCTTATAGGTGTAGCTTTAAATGCATCCGACATGTCGCCTCTTTAGGGAGGAAATATTCCATTTTGACTCCAAGGTTGCTGCGACCATCATTCTTATCTCTTTCACTTTTTGTATATATCTCTCTGCCTATTATTTATTTATTGATATTTTATTTGAAAATTGCTTAAACGTCCCTGAAATTTTTAACAGTTGCTGAAACTTTTCTTACTTTTTATTAATAGCAATCAGTCCTCTGAAATTTTTCACACCGTTGCATCCACACCCTTTCATTAGATTCCAGAACGAACGATAGGGGTAAAATGACCAAAATACTCATGAGCATGTGTTACACACCTTAATTTGCTTCGTGGACTGGTCGCTGATCAGACCATTAATCCACCTTAATTTAATACTTGACTGATAAATACCAATTAGTTGGAATAATTTATGGTTACTCTGTTGTATATTTTTAATGGGAAACGTGTCTAGCAATTTCCATGTCAAATTATTCCTTTGATTCAGTTTTGGGAAGAGTAGAAATGCAAATATATACACTAAAATGATCTCACAATCACATGCTTTGTCTCCGTCACTTCATGGGTGATATTTTGACCGGTATAAAAAAACCCTATCTTATCATGTGTGGGCAATAATCTCACGGCTACAAAGGGGTGTGAATTAGGTGAGAGGACCATTTTTGTGAAGAGGATATATTCCAACTCGAAAGTCGAAACTGAGTGTTATATTTGCAATTGACGGGGGGAGGGGATGTTTCAGCAACTGACGAAAACATCAGGGCAAAGTTTCAGAAATCTGCATTAAGCAGCTGAGCTGTAAGTATTTGGCATCTATGGCTTATATATTGTCGTGATCCTTCCACGTGGTGTGAGTTGCATGGTGTAGTAAGTTGATTCTCTGACACGTATTGTACGTAACAGACAGATGCTGATGCCACGGTTCTCTCCGGGGCTTTCATTGTTAATGGACACTCCACCCGAGACTGACATTACATTTAATTGTGGTAGAGGAGATGTATAGATAGATGAGAGAGAGAGAGAGAGAGAGAAGCCTTCCATTATTCCCTCCATCTTTCGGCCTTCAATTGGGACCATTTGGTCCATTTCTCAAGTCTCTTAAACAGCCATCACCACTCTGCAAAAGGCAAAAGCCATTAGATCGGGATTTTCGTCGGTGCACACTTTGCAAAATTTGGATTGGTTGGTTTCAACTTTAAAGGCCTAACATCTTTGTCTGTACTCTGTAATTTAAATGAAGAATATAAAGCGGTTATGGACCTTATGGTGACTTATTTGTTTCAGCAATTTTGAATTTTGATGGTGTTGGATTCATTGTCCATGTAGCTAGGTTTGTTTCTCAATGTTGAACAACATTCTTCAAAAGACGACTATTCATGGTTGAATAGCTTTTCCCACGCGAGTATGAATTGAGAAAAGCATGCGTACGTCCATGAACTTAGTTGTGCACTGGTTTTGGGAGTAAACAAATTGAGGGGTCAAAGCTCAGTTGGTATGTGGATGATTTGTCTCCGTCCATATGCGGTTTTGAGTCCCAATACTATTTTTTTTTAAGGCAAAACATAATATTTCATTACAAAGAAGTAGTAATAGAACCGAGAAAAAATATAAATCTCTAGAAATAACAAAATATTGAGGCAGATAAATGTATGCATTTCCAACCATTGCAAAAAACTTCTACAACAAATAAATACTGAGGCAGATAAATGTATGCATTTCCAACCATTGAAAGAGTTGGATAAATACAATCACAATTCACCATAACTTTAATCATCCATGATCATAACTGTCGGGACTTTAACTTTTAAACTGAAACTAATTAGAATTTTAATAGTCTAAAACCATAACCGTCGAAACTGTCATCTTCGAAACTAGAATCAATTGGAAGTTTAATCACCCGAAAAATGTAACCGCCAGAATTGTTATTGCCAGAAGTGGAACCAATTAGAACTTTAACCATCCAGAACTGAAACTGTCGGAATTGTTATTGCCAGAACTGGAACATTAACCACCTAGAATTTTAATCGCCAAATATGTTATCGTCGAAACTGGATCCACCTAGAACTTTAACCATCCAGAACTGTAAGTACCGATGGAATAAAATAAGGAAATAGTTATCAACGGTGAAAATCAAAGTAGCGATTAAGGCCATTACCCAACACTCCACCTCTTATACTAAAATCCATACAAAAAAAAAACAAAAGAAAAATATAATAAAAAAGAAAGAAGGAGAAGAAACGAAATAGAGTTGAGGATTGGACATATTTAATCAAGAAGAAGAGAGAGAGAGTCCCCAAAGAAAAAGAGTTGTGCATAAATATTGGTTAATCATGTGATACTACACTGTTCATGGAAAAGTTAACGACCCGACCCCTATGGGAGATTTAGGCATTGATTAATACCAAAAGGAAAAACTACGAAATGAATATTAAAAATACAAATATATAGTGTAAAATCTAAAACCTTGTATTTTGTATATATTTTTATTGTATATATTTGTATTTGTGCTATTTTTAAACTAAGTTAAAGGTTGCGTTTGATTGCAATGTAATTTTATTTGTACTAGTACAAATGTAAGGAAGTAAAAATGAAAAAAAATGCAACTTCTGATTTAATTTTGTCTTGAGTTCTACTCTATTTTGCATAGGCTCAGTTTGAAAGGAGTACAAATACAAATATGTACAATACAAATATATACAAAATATAAGGTTTTGTGCTCTACATATTTGTATTTGTACTCCTTCCAAATGGAGTCTTAAGGTCTTATTTTACTTCATTTTTACTACAATCAAATAAAATAAGGTAAAATTTGAAATAAAAATAAATCAAAATTTCACCCAAATCATTTACACTACCATAGGTTTGCATTAATGCAAAGAAAAATTACATTACAAACAAACACAGACTAAGTAACTAAATTCCATGTCTTGGAATTCAATAATAAAGTGAAAAATAGCTGTCACGGAATGGAAGTGCTAATTGCTTGTGACTAATTCTGTAATTGTAAGAAACGGGAGAGTCATCCTCAACTTCATCACTCATCAGTGTAATATGGGCCCTTAGTGACCTTATAAGCCCAATCAATTGATGGATCCAAAACTAGCAAAATAAGAGTTAGAGACATGTCATAGTCGAACATGGGCCGGTGAGCATATGTCCAAATAAAAATTAAGTGAACTGTTCAACAGAATTACAGAATCACCAGCAGACGTCCTATAACAAAAAGTAAAGCAATTGTCCAACACAACAAAATATCACAATTGAGCCCAGAACTGAAAGATCCATCCATGATCCATGAGCTATTCCAATTGCAAGTCCCGAGACAGGGACGAACAAGGACTCCCTCCTGTCCTGTGTTCCTTTACAAAGGCTTGGCTGCTTTCGGTCCACACTTGCTGTATTGCAGGCTCGTGATGCACAAAGTATTTAATTAATGAAACCGGATCTGTTCTTGTTCCTCACTCCGACCTCACGACGAATATCTCCCATTCTTGTACGTTATTATCGATAAGAGATGTTCTTAATACACTGTAAGGTCAGTTTGAAGAGCGGTCTGTGAGGAACAGACATAAATTCTTAATTAATTGCTTCAACTGAACTCACTTGATTGATAGCGGAAATGTCATCCTTCTTCTGCTGCCTTTCCGTCATTCATTGGGCTTCCCCTCTCTGCATAGTACAGTTGATAAACTGCGGCTTGGACCACCAAACATCTACCCATGCTTGCATCGCAGACACCATTTCAGATGGTTACCTTGCTTAATTCATCTTCCACATGACTCACAAGGATGGGAGGCCAGCAAGCGTAGAATGAATTACCTATCAAATTATTTCAACCTGCAGCTGCAAGTACTCCATATTCCAAAAGAAAGGTCCCCTAATTCCTAACATCTTCCATCTGGATCTGATGTCTCTCTCTCACTCTCTCTCCATTGATAAGAACCCCGGCCCTTTTAGACTAGATGGG